ACTTTTAACCAGTGAACTGCACTTCTTCTTTTCTTCCATCCTGTTCATACTCTTTCCCCTGTTCTCTCACACTGTTTTTTTTTTTTCTTTTAGTTTCCTCATTTTTGATACCGTTGTTGAGTTCCACCAGGCTCTTTCACAGACTTCTGAGTATCCTGATGTCCTTAGTTTGTGTTTACCTCCTCCTGAGCACAGGGTAAAAGCCACTGACCATTAATCTAATCATGCTATGCTATGCTATGTCCATGCTATGCTTAACAGTAATCCAGCATGTTAGTTTAGACAAATTCTCCTCTTGAGGTTGCCTGTCTAAGGAAATGGAATTCAAAAACAAACCACATAGTGCTTACAGTAAGCAAATAAGTTGTAAAAGTTTTCAGTTCAGCTGCTGATCGGTTTGAGACAGTTTCAGTTATGCAGACAATATTCTAATGAATAATTAATTAAGAATTAAATAATACACTATCGTTCAAAAGTTTGGGGCTGGTTATTTTTTAAGGAAGTCTTATATTCCCACCAAGGCTGCTTTTATGTGATAAAGCAGCTATTACTCCATTCTACCGATAAATCTGATTTGGTGCTCAATAAACATTCTTATTATTTTCAGGTTACTTTGATGAATAGTCGCATTAATTTGAAATCGAAATCTTTTGTAACATTATTATTGTGAAGTACCTCTTTTTTTCTTACTGACCCTAAACTTTTGAACTGTAGTGTACAGTGGGTACGGAAAGTATTCAGACCCCCTTCAATTTTTCACTCTTTGTTATATTGCAGCCATTTGCTAAAATCATTTAAGTTAATTTTAAAATATTAATCAAATCACATGATGTTCTGATTAATAAATGAAATTAATTACAAATAATTTTTTTAAGATGTCATTCTTATTGAGATTTATTCTAAATTTAAATATAATTTATTCAAAATTAATATTTTTAAATGAAAGTTATTCTAATAGATATTTGGTTTGTAAATTGTGAAGGTATGAGGCTCTGTTTCCTCCGGTGCTGTCATGGCTCATGTTTGCATGGATAAACATTGAGCAGGAAACCATGAACACGCAAGGGAGTTCAAATCGGACTGAGGTAGGTCCCCTCCTCTTCTAGGCTTATTCTTTAGGGGCTTCCCTTCAGCCTCTGTAAAAAAAAAAGTCTCAAAATGAGGTTGAAGGTGTATAGCATTGCGTAAAGTTTATGTATCAAAGTATCAGTAGACAGACCATTGATTGTACCGTTTTCCTGTTTTCTCAGCTGTCCAGCACTGATTTTGCTGAAAACATTGACATTACCAAGATCAGGCAGCTGAGGCTGGATGACATTCGGAGATCTTACTACTTTGCATCCTTTTGGACTACAGACTGTTTGATTTGTGTCTTTTGATTATTGAAAAATGCTTACACTATTTAAAATAATATAATTCCTTAACTGTTGGAATAGGTGTTTTTCATTATAATTGCATTCTTTGGCTGTGGTAACATTGCCTCTATTAATAGGTAAGCTGCTTGTTTTTAAGAAAAATATTGCTATAAAATAAACTAAAATTAATTAATTGTGCCTTTATCTTCCCTCACAGTTTTGATCCAGCCTCAGTTTACTGCTTTCTGACCGTCTTCAATCCTTTCATCATGGGTGGCCTGCTGATGTGGAAGGTATAGCGCTTGCTCAACATAAAGTTTCAGATTGACGCTCTTTTTTTTTTTTTTTTAAATGAGTGCCATGGGCGCCACAGGTATTTGTGCTATTATGCTTCTTTTAACGGTTGCATCCTTTTTCAGGTGTTAATTCCGTTTGTAATTGTGATGTGCACATTCGAAAGCATTCAAGTGTCAACACAGCTCTCATCACGAAGGTAATTAGCAGAATAATTAGAACAGCAGGAAACCAGCTGGTCAAACTCTTTTTGCCCACATTGTCTGCAGACTGACCACTTCTTCAAGCATTTGCTATATTTATGCTCAAGCGCTTCACAGACACTTCCTTGTTGACTGCAAACAACTGGGCTTTGGTATCTAGGGTACTTGTTAAAAACAACAACAACAACAAAACCGTCCAAACAAGGATATGTTCCTGCTCAGGCAGAACAAAATATTTTTTTGTATATTAGATTGTTTTTGCATAAGTTTACATAAATTCTGCATTTATTTTCTAGCCTTTTCCTCGTTGTGCTTGTCATCTCAGACTTGATGGCATTGGTAAGGTTAGCATAGAGAACATGACAAATAATGGCAAAATTAAATTGCATAAAAGTTGCTTTTTTTTTTTTTTTTTTACTAATTATCCTAACTTATCTCTGTTCTTTTTCACCAGCACTTCTTTTTCTTAGTAAAAGATCATGGAAGCTGGCTTGACATAGGCACTAGGTGGGTTAACTGTATTGTACTTCTTGTTTTAGCTTCCATCCTCTTAACCAAACTGACCACAAGCTCAGTTTGGTTTGTGTCCGTTTTTGTACATGTGTAAATGCACAAATATGATCAAATGTTTCTTCTGTGTTGCAGTATTAGTCACTATGTCATCGTAATGTCCATGACCATCTTCCTCATGTTGCTGAGCGTCATGACGCACATTTTAACCTCCAAGAGAATCCTCATTGGACGGAAACGAAAGATGCACTTTAGGTGACAACCTAGTACCAGGACCTCCCTCCTAATGTTTACAAGGTGCAAAAAACAAGCATTCAATAGTACAATAATATGACTGATGTTAAGAGTGGGGTCTTCCTGTTTCTGGGTATTTCTTAACATCATTGTTACTTAACACTTATGACTCTGCATCTTATAATAGGAAGACTCTGATCGGCTGTTAATACATACAGCGGATTTACAGGTATTTTAGTTCTGGGACTTAAGGGGAAAAAAGGCCACGAGACTGATTTAGGTTCAAGGGAAAGTACTTGATTATGTCTCTGTATATGTACTGTATGAGTTATGCTGAAGGTGAGGAATGTTACTGTACTTATTTCAGCTGATTTTAACTGGGATGTAATTTTCCGATGGTATTATGGTAAATGTGTAGTTTTATAATACTGTGTTTTAATATGTAAATATATAAAATGATTTATTTACAATAAACATTTAAATTTAGTGTTATGCCTTTAATAATAATAATGGAAAAAACAACAACACTGATCTTGATCTTTGTCAGCACATTACCAAATGACGGTGCAAATAAAATACGCAGCACATACACAACTGGTCAAAAAATTGGAGTCCATAAGATTTTGTTTTGTGGGGGAAAGAAAATAATACTTTTATACAGCAAGGTTTCAATTTTGTTATTAGAAATTGATAACAGTAAGAAATGTTTTTTGAGAAGCAAGTCAGCATCTGAAAATGATTTCTGAAGGATCACGTGACTCTGAAGACTGGAGTAATGGCTGCTGAAAATTCAGCTTTGCCATCCCAGGAATGAATTACATTTTAAAATGTATTAAAATCTAAAAGTTATTTTCAATTGTAATAATATTTCACAATATTTTAATAAATGCAGCCGTGGTGAGCATAAGCGACTTCTTTAAAAAACACTAACAAATATTACTAACTCCTAACTTTTAAATGGTAGTTTAGCTAAAACGGTCATAAATAGCATTGACATATGCATTAAATTATATAACATTTTATCCCGAATATTTTATGTATTTTTGTAAAATATGTAAATGTTATTATAGTCTTTTCAGAAACACATTAGTTTAATTCACATTATCAGTGTCCATTAAAAATTTAAGCACATCCCCCCTGCAGCTGTGACAAGCACACAGGGGAAAACCACAAACCATGTCAGCTTAAGACTAGACACTATTGAGAGCCATTAAGATTTTAATGATACCCGTAGTGTCTACCAACAGAGAATTCTAAGAGGCACTATACAATACATTCAGACTCCTCCATGTAGAGAACAGAAATGCCAGATGGCTGTGATCTTGCAGTATTTCTATCATAACTGGAATCTGAAGGTTTGTTTGAGGTTGTTTGGCAACGTGACTCATTGTTTTTGAGGTTGGCCACCTAAACTGAAGTGTCAAATGCAACAACGTGAACCATGAAAACAAACAGCAGACTGGCTGCCTCATCGAGAGAATGTGTTAAAACAGTGGTTACTGAATGAGTGAGGAGCAGATGCAACAAACATTACTTCCTCATCTGCTCTGCCATTGTGGACTTCTGTGTTGCCGTTCTGAGGGTACGTATCTTGCTTTATTGTCTCCTTAGGCTGTTAATTTTGACCAAGTAAACAAATTTTAACATTTTAAGTGCACTGTGTTGAAATAGATAGTTGAAATGTCTTGCTTTCATCTGATTTTTTGAAGGGATTCATGTACTCAAAGTAGTTTGTAGCTTGTTTGGCACGTTCAAAAGAGCTACAGAGATACATGAAGTACTTTAAAGGAGTGCAAAAAGGATTTATAAAATACATTTACTTATACACTGGCTTTTTATTGGTCTGTTTCTACAGATCTGCACTATAGTAAAACTTACCTATACTCAAACTGTAAACTTATATAGCTGGTAACAGTCTACAATAAGGTTCCATGAGTTCATGCATTAACTTACATCAACTAACAATGAGCAATACATTTGTATTAATATTTAATATTTGTTAACTTTAGATTCATTGTTGGTTCATGTTAGCTCAGGTCAAGTTACATAATATTAACAGATACAACTTTGATTTTAATGTATTAGTAAATGTTGAAATTAACATTAACTAGGATTTATAAATAGTTTATACGCGTTTTCATTATTCATTCATGCTATCTGATGAAGGTAACTAATATTAACAGATGAAACCTTTCTGTAAAGTGTAACAGAATAGAACATTTCGTCAATATTTACTCACCCTGATGTCGTTCCAAACCTGTTAAACTTTTTTTTTTCTCCCTGTGGAACAAAAATATTTTAAGTGTTTTTTTTTCTTCACATAGTGGAAGTCAATGGAAAATAAAACTCTGGTTAACATTCTTCAAAATATATTTTGTGATATTACAAAAAGAAAGTTTTACAGGTTTTGAACGACATGAGGGTGAGTAAATGATTACAGAATTCCCATTTTAACTATCCTTTTAAGCTTACATTAATTTTAAAACTTTTTGAATTATTGCTTATGAATAAAATTTAAATTCTAAAAGAAAAACAATGCAGATGCATTTTGCATCTGTTAAATAACTTTATCACGTTTGTCTTCCAGTATGTTTTCTCACTAGGAACCATGACGATGAACACCACAGTAGACAACATCACCAGCCCCGCAGTGACAACCAACCCAACTCCAACAGCCCCCCCGGCCCACCTCACCGAGTCCTACAGAGTCGCCCTGATTATTATCTACACTGTAGTCCTTCTGGTGGGCATCACGGGCTTAACCGTCATGATCAGCCTGCTAAAAACCAACATTCGCTCGTTAACCACCATCGCCTTCCTGAACTTGATGGTCGCACACTTTCTTTTCCTGCTCACCGTGCCATTCAGAATCTACTATTACGCGTCCCAAACATGGCAGCTGGGTCAGGGTTTCTGCAAACTGGTCAGCGCCATGGTGCATATCCACATATACATGGTGTTCACCATCTACTCCATTCTTCTTACGGTTCGCTTCCTGCATTTTTACAAGAAAACACAGCGGACTGAGTTCTACAGGCGGCTGCACGGGCTGGGCGCGAGCGCTCTAGTGTGGTGCATCCTGTTAATCATCATGCTGCCCCTCGTGCTGATACAATACGGACACAAAACCATACCAGAAAACCAGTGCTTCAAATTTGGGGATGAATTACAGGAGCACCATGTCTACGCCCTGAACATGGTTCTGTCCATCCTTATTATCACCGTGTCGTGTTTTCAGACCTGCATCCAGGCGATCATCCTACGCCAGATGATACTCAAGTACGGAGCCGCCAGCAGCGCCCAGCAGGAGTTTTGGGTCCAAATAAAAAACCTCAGCTTTGTACTCATCTTGCTCACTTGCCTGGTACCTTACCACCTTTTTCGGCTACAATACCTGAACAACACTAAAGACCTTAATCAGATCAATGAAGTGTTTCTGGCCATCACCGGGCTTACGTGTTTCGACATGCTGACGTTCACAGGGAAGAGCATATGTAAAGTGTGCTGGACATAAAGCGGATAAAAACTGTACATATATAGACGCTATTTTCCGCATCACTAAAGGTCTGCAGATGTGAAGCTGGAAACCGTTTTAACAGAAAACGAGTGTTATACTTATAACACGGTAAAGACAGTAAAGGTGAATGAACATCAGTCTTAGCAAAATGTAGCCTATACCATGTTAGCTGTAATTTGTGCCAAAATAGTGGTTAATACAATCATCGGTGACTCTGAAAGCTTTTTACATTGTTTGAAAAGCAGACCTTTTTCAAACCTGTTTGTTTTTATTTTTTTTTATCATGTAATTTCTTGTACCATGACAAATACAATATAGCATGGTAGGCTAGGCCTATATATTAAAGTAACAGTAGCAATGCTATCATTCGATAGTAGTGATAATGATGTGTTGGTTATCCTGGTATTCAAGTCTTTCAGATGATTTGAAATTACGTTTATTTTGATATCTGTACTGTCATGCTGTTGAGTATGGAGGACGAAACCTGCAAAAACAATAAAATAAATACACAAATAAATAAATAAATGTGTGTATAAATACACAAATTCTTGTTTAAATACATATAGAAATAATTAAACGTGATTAAAGTAGGCAAATAAATCAAATAAATTGGTGGGCAAATGGAAAATGTTTAAGGAAATGCTAAACTCATCCTATTTTCCTTTGATCACTCATTTATTTCTGAATGTAGTTCCACATTTATTTTTCCTCTGCGCAACATGCTAACGAGAGGGTGTCAACCATGTTTAATTATTTCTATATGTATTTAAACAAGAATTTGTGTATTTATACACACATTTATTTATTTATTTGCATATTTATTTATTTATTTGTGTATTTATTGTTTTTGCAGGTTTCGTCCTCCATAGTTGAGGAGATAGAAGAGCAAAATACATTTGATTTCAAGGGTTAATTTTACAGTGAACCTTTGACAACTATTTTATTTACTCAATACACAATAACTGAACTAATTAAAAAAAAATGCATCTCAGTAAATTTAAGGCATATGTTCTCAGAACTTTGGCTAATTATGTTCTGGCAAGGGTATGAATAAACGTTCTTCCACATAATAATAGAACGTTCGTTCAAATGTTGTGATTGCAAAGCGTCAGCACAAATAGCCTACATCATTCATGGAAGGTTTTCTTTTCTCCTAAAACGTCTTAGTTGGACATTCCTCTAACGTTTTTGAAACGTTATAACTTACTTATTAGCCTACATGTTTCAAAAGTAATCCATAACGTTCCCAGAATGCTCCCATTTTGACAAAATGGAACGTTCACTTTTTTTTCTCTCTAGTGTTTACATAAGATTTTTTTTAAACATTTAAAAAAACTTATCAAAACAAATAACTTTGATAATGCTAACTTATTTCTACATAGGGCATACAGCATATTAGTTACTAACCTAAACGACGGACACGCATAGCGTGTGACAAGGCTTAACATCTTAAAAAAAGATGAGAAAAATGGAAAGAATTTTTCATAATCCGTTTAAATATTCACAAATAATATTTTATTTTAAAATACACATACAATTAGGAGTTAATTTGTGCAAATGTTGTAAAAGCAAAACAACAAAATGTTCCTTGCCACATTCGGTTACAAATGTATGGAGGACGAAACCTGCAAAAACAATAAATAAATAAATGCACAAATAAATAAATAAATGTGTGCATAAATACACGTATTCTTGTTTAATACATAAATAAATAATTAAACGTGACGAAAGTAGGCAAATAAATAAAATAAATTGGTGGGCATTGCGAACGTTATTAGCACATATTATTGTGAGCTGGGATGTGGTGGCATTCCTATTTTAGAGAGCATTTTAACTGCATAAACATCAGTGTAGTGCAGAGAATGAGTCACGATGAACTAAAAATGACAACTCTGTTTTTGAGTTTTATATTACGTTTATCTCTCTAGGTTTTCTCTTTAGGTTTTCACATTTTTTAGCCAATAACTCGCGACACAACCAGTCTGTGGACACAACTCGCGAGGGATAGCACGTCAGTTGGTTTCATTTTTGGGGACGATTTTAGACTCAAGCAGAAATGAAACCACTCGATGGTTTAAATATATGAGTTTTAAGTTATGTGATAAGACAATGGCCAAACGATGTTCGACCTCTCATTGAGAGAGAGGAAAATAGAGATTTGGCGCCCTCTTCTGATAAAATTGGAGAACGTCAAAGACCCGATCTGAGGTAGTTGAAAGGGAAAACGATATTTCTGTAAAACTAGGAGTTGAGCCATCAGTGTATAAGGTATAAGGTATAAGTAGGCTCACAAACGTGTCTGTTACATATTTATGATATTATAAATTCAAATGTTTTCCTTCTTGACTTTAGGCTTAATTTGTCCGTGTTCTTTACGGTGTGAACCCAGGCACAGGCAAAACGATTCATGTCTTGTGTTTTATTGGGCCTAGTTACTGTTTAACATCTCCACCCAACTTTCAGTTTGTTTAGTAAATCGATCTAATGAGGCTCCCCCAACACCACCAAAAGTATTATCCAATGTGAGGATTTTGACATGTCAAACACTTCATTTGCTCTCTATAAAAGCATAAATATCATATTTATTAGCATATTTTTTTGACACAGGGCGTTTGGGTTTTGGTGGATTAATGCAAATCGTTGTTGGACTTGGAGAAGGTAAGACCAGATAGCTTTGAGTTGCGGTCATTGAATTGTGGGCCAGTTAAAGAAGGGAAAAAAAAAATCCGTTAAAACGTTCCTACCTTTTACCTGGCTATGTAGTCTTAAAGAAGTCCTTGCTACAACATTTTGACGGTAACGTTAAAGAAAGTATCGCTCGTGCAGTTGTGACGTCAGCATTCCTTAAATTAGGTTAGTCTCGAATTGTGTTTTATTATTATTATTTTTCGTATTGACAAATATAAATGTATAGGTGTTTCATATAGAAAACAGTCAGGATTTGTGTGTTTTCTGATCTGTTATGTCGTGAAAACAAATAAGCAGTGCTTATTATACTATTATATTTCGTATTTTATAGCCAATATTGCTGAAAGAATGTTTTAAAATATTTTTGTCATTTACATTGTCACAATTATATTTGCTTTGTTAATACTTTAAAAGGTCGCCTTTTACATTAAAAATATGCCTTAATATAATTTAGGTCAGATCGTAGTTATTTCAGTTGCCTGTGTAGAAGTGACATTAATGGGCTCTTTTATGTAAAACTGAATATACTGCCTTGATACTGAGTTTTTCACAGTCATGGGGTGATATTTTACTTTCAAACAATTCTAGTTTGATCTTGAATTTATTTTACTGTTGAAGTGGTATGATAGATCAACTAGCTAGTAATGTAGAGAGTATTATGCAATGTGATTTTAAGTACAGTATACTCATCTTTCTGCATTGGAGCTGATATTGAGGTGTAATGCTATTGAAAATAGATAACATGAAATAGATGGCCTCGTCTAAACTCTTATCACGTGAGCATTTGAGCACTTCCTCATTTAAAACATTGTTTGTTGAAGTTAAAGTGAAGTTAAAATGTAACGTGTGATGTGGCCTCAGAGTATCCATGTGCTTACTGAATCTAAACTCAAATCCTTCAATCTATTTAATATTTATTTTATTTTATTTTAATATTTTGTTGTCTTTCTTTTTCTTTTTTTTTTTGTTATGGTCACTGCTTGTACAGCAGTGGTGCTATTCTGTTTGACTTTCTAGTTGATTAAATTGCACCACAAGACAATATAATGCTGTGCTTACTGAATCTAAACTCAAATCCTTCAATCTATTTAATATTTATTTTATTTTAATATTTTGTTGTCTTTCTTTTTCTTTTTTTTTTGTTATGGTCACTGCTTGTACAGCAGTGGTGCTATTCTGTTTGACTTTCTAGTTGATTAAATTGCACCACAAGACAATATAATGTACAGAAAACAGAGTAGCCTACTTGTAAAACCGCAGATTTTAAAAAATCGGACAAACTCTTAAAGAAACCAAATATTTGTTTCCTTTATGGCTTTGCACATGCATTGTACAGGACTGACAGCACTGCAGTAATATGTCTTATTGGTGTTTTTATTTATTTTTTAAAACTCTTAAAAAGATAGTTTACCCTCATGTCATTCCAAACCAGTATGAATTTATTTGTTCTGGGGTAAAAAAAAAAAGAAAAAGAAAGAAAATAGACCCGATTGATGTTCATTGTATGGCCAAAAAAAAAGGCAATTTATTATTGAATATTGTTTCAAAGTAAATTTTTTTTTTGCGTGTGTAAATTTAGAGCCTCTACTTGTTTGTTCCACAGAAAAGAAGAAAGTAATATACACAAAAATCGGTATAAGATGTACTTTTAAAAAATATTTACTATGAAATTGCTAGTAAATTTCACAATGAATTACAAAGAAATGGCAAGTAACACACTGAATTAAATGTGAAATTTAGAAGTAGAAAAACTAAAATGATAATTTTTGTAAAACCGTTTTTTTTTTACATCTTTGAAAAATTTGTACATTGCAGGTTTGGAAGGAAATGAGGGTAAATAAATAAACTCTTTAAGAAAAATGGCTCATCAATGACTCATAGATTCAAAATATTACATTCAAATAATTATTCTAATTTAAATAAATGTTAACATACAAAACGGAATTTGTGTCAGACGAATGCAAATTATGTCTATAATACTTCGATAATTGCAACAGAATTCTGGAACTGCTGTATAGCTTACCTCGTTTTTAAATATTAATTTTTGTAAATTTATTTGACCAATTAAAAAAACACCACTGATTTACAGTACAACAGTTTTGGGTTTTGGGATGGTGCATTACTTTGTAAGAATGTCATTTTGCTTGAGAATAGTTGGTTTGGCTGCACCAATAAAACCTTGTATTACTTTCTGGAACGAATACTGTTATCTCTTCATCCTTCTGATAAGTATAGGATAAGGTGAGAAGATAAGTTCTGTTCAAGGAGGTGAGGAGTCTTGGCCAAAGCTCCTCCCTTGTCTTAGAAGATGACAAATCAGCATTCTGAAGAAATGGTCAACCTAAGGCTGCCCTCAGTTCTCTCTCCAAGAGAAACTGTCCCGGGACGACTTTAAGTAGAGATAGCCAGGCAGGGATGAAGTTTTCACCAACTCCTCTTCCTAAATCCTTGTTAGACATGGATGTAGCCAATTACTGTGAGGGCCTGGACCCGACTTATAGCACATTGGGCTTTGAGAATGCAGAAGTGCTTTATTGTGGTGGTGAGTGTTTTGTCCAAAATATGTGTTTTTAAGTACTTTAAATGTTGCAGATGGGGTAGATGCTGCTGCTTGTACTAGTAAACAGATGCTCATTCTGCTTGAAGTCTGTGTTCACTATAGTGTTGTTATTAAAATGCTAATTG